CAAAACGATTGAGTGTGTAGCATTAAACTACGCGTAAGTTTACTGACACAACTATGGTTTTGAACGTAGCCATATACATATACGGCCGGTAGAGGTCGTTGATAAAAAGATCATGCAAATCATCATGGAATCTGAAGACACCCTATTAATCGCTTGCGCATGCGCGCTTAGCGCTAAAAAATGGTGTGTATATCTTGAAAAATAAATATATGCGAGATCCATGAATGATATGAATAATTACCCCCTATTTAAATATTAAGCCATTGTTAAAAATGGTGCGTATATCTTGAAAAAATAAATATCTACGAGATCAAAGATGTATGACACGAATCATGCATGAACGAATTAGAAAGGGGGGGGGGCTATTAAAAAGAATAAAAGGTATTCGTTGTATATAAAGAAATAACTGGTATCCGTGAACAAGTATCCAGAGTTCCGAAATGTTTTTTTACGCTTGAGCAGTATCATCCAACGGGAATCTGGGAATGATTAAAATGTCCAAAATAAACTCTTGTTGTCTATTATGTTTGAAGTCCTCAGAGGAGACTGACGTGCGTTAATAAAGAAAAAAAAAACCCATCATGTTTCAGTGTGGTTATTGCGAATTAATGTTTAATGATTATGATAGCATGGCCGATCACGAAAAGATACACGAACGGAATATTAACAATACTGTAAGGTAAGACCGACATTTGTTTATCCTCTTGTACACTCGCGAGGAAGCTATTGGATAAAGGGAGGCAAATCTCAACTAACTTCAAATATCGGCCATGAACTCAAGCATTACCTTGTTATCGTCCCTTGTAAAAGTCAAATACAGAGCGTGATGTACATGTGAATAACGCAAGTCATAGCATCGAGTAATGAAGTGTAAGATACATTATATCTCATTCATCGGGGATGACCAATATGTCAATACAAATATGTATGTAATTGCCTTTTTTTTCATTTCTTTTTCCTCACGATGATATACCATTTAAAGAGAAAAAAACAGAGATCTAATTCACAGTTGAATGTGAACAAAATCATAAATGAGTTTACTGTGTGATGTGTTTGTTGTCAAACAAGAACTTTTACAATGTAGCGTATTTGGCAGATGATAGTGCCACTCTCCTTCTTCATTTTCTGTACTTAAATCCGGAACAGGGCTGGAATCCTTTGCACCCCAAAAACCCTATATGCTTCTACACCATTACCATATCTAATGTACATTTCATCAAATTTCTGCTGCAAAAACAGGTAATAACCATGTCCAGCACATTCTGGCAAAATTTTCTTTCCTGCATCTAAGCATTTCTTCACGTAAATCTCATCGAAAAAGAAATGATGATATGGGTTACTCGAGTCTGGAACCTTTGCATGTACAGACCCTAAACCGTGCTACTACACCTCAGAAACGAACCGTACCGTTCCGTGCACAAAGCGTACCGTACCGTGAACAAAGCGAACCGTTCCGTGCTCAAAGCGTACCGTGCCGTCCACAAAGCGAACCGTTCCGTGTACAAAGCGTACCGTACCGTGCACAAAGCGAACAGTTCCGAGCACAAAGCGAACGTACCGTTCAGTGCAAGAAACGAACCGTACCGTTTCTTGGTTAATTATGCAAACCACGCCCCCAATGATTTTCGAACCGTGCTTTGACCAAATAAGTCATTTTGGTTTATTTTCTCAATAGCGCCCGTGAAAGAGGACGGAGGTTATGTCTGGCTATTTGAAACATAATTATCAAGCAACATGCATCTGGGCTTTCAACTGTGAAAATTCAAAACAACTAGACAGAGTTTACATTGATTACTTATTTGCTATGGTTCCTGCCGACAAAGCAGGTAACAACATTGTCTTCGTTTGTAAGGCTCATTACATAAATTGCATTCTAGAAGAACTTGGATTTAATTCTACAAGTGGTAATCCTACTTATGCATATTCTTTTCTTTCTAAGGAAGACATTCTTCAAAATCACCTGTCAGTTTTGAATACTTTTGATATTCCACAGAGCCAAAATGAATTTGAACTACCTTATATATATATTGGATTCCGAAACTTCATTAGAATCCTTACAAACAAGGATAAATTGCAAGTTCCAGTAAATGTTCAACCAAGCCTCTTTCGTTACTTTTCACTAAAATATTGACAGTAGTGAAGGAAAAACTTCAAGAGTACTGTACAACTATATATTCAAGAAGTGGTGTAAATCAGATGTGGATACTTAAAAAATCTAAAGAACTTTTGGACAATTTGAAATCACAAGACTTTACAAAAATCAACAGCATAAAAACTTACGACTTTTCAACATTATACACAACAATTCCCCACGACAAATTAAAATCCAGGCTTTTTGATATCATTGACAGCTGCTTCTTCAACAAAAAAAGGAACTCGTATGTTTACTTACCTCGTCATTGGTCATTTGAAAAATTATTTTGTTAAAACAGATTCTGATAGCACACATAAGTACTCTGAAGTTGACATCAAGAAGATGCCTGAGTTTCTGATTGACAATATCTATGTGGTTTTTGGAGACCAGGTATTCCAACAATCTATTGGAATTCCCATGGGTATCAATTGCGCTCCGTTATTAGCAGACTTATTTTTATATTCATATGAAGCAGAATTTATGAAAAATCTTTTGCGTGAAAAGAAGAAAACACTTGCTGTGGCCTTCAACTCGACATTTAGATATATCGACGACGTATTGTCAATTAATAATGATAATTTCCATTCCTACGTCGACACGATATATCCTGGTGAGCTAGAGATAAAAGATACCACAGAGTCCGACACTTCCGCTTCATACTTGGATATTTTACTTGAAAAAGACACTAATGGTTTGTTTCTTTAAATCATTTTAAATATTCTGTGCCTTTTTTAACATAGATAAAAGCTCATTCTTGCAGATAAATAGAGGAGAACGGAAGACCTTCTTTGTTGTTGTAGGAACAAGAGTTTCTAGTTCGTTTATTTTTATTTCTGGTAGGCCTGTGTATAATACAGGGAGGGCCGTCATGTGAATTTCTTATGGGAATTCTTAAGGACACAGAAAAATGTGAAGAGAAAGAACAGCTCATTAAATGCCTTAAAAACAGGGATTTATCAGGTGAATCGATTGATTTATCGGTTATAGGGCAGAATGATAAATAACGCTTTGTGCAGTAACGTATACGTGTTAATGTGAAATATTCTATTCCATTTTACCGGTAACGGTAGCCTACTGGTAGAGCGTTCGCTTCGTGATCGGGAGGCCTAAGACGTAAACATAGGTAGTGAGTGTTCCTTCGCCAAGCGCTCGGCACTAGAAGTGAAAGTCACGGGTCTTTCGGATATGACCTTAAAACGTAGGTCCTGTGTCACGGTAGGCGTTGGCACGATAAATAACCCTCACTGCTTAATGGCCCTGAGTGCCGAGTATAGGTATAAATTTGAAGCACTTCACCGGCATCGGTGACGTCTCCATATGAGTGAAAAATTCTTAAACAGTATACAATCAATAAATCTATTCCATTTCAGCTGATTAATGCCGTCCCCACAATGTAACTTCCAATTTGAGGAAACCGGGATGAGAATGTGATTATGATACATGTATTTAGATGTATATATGGATATGGTGAAGACAATCATCGAGGAAATCAGAGAGAAGAGTGTTTTGAGAACTTGATTCTATGGGTACAAGTAAATTCGGCACCTGGTGAATTCGGCACTCAAAGAAAAAGTGAATTCGGCATCTAGTGAGCTCGGCACCTAGTGAACTCGGCACCAGAATCTAGTAAATTCGGCATCAGATTCTGGTTAATTCGGCACCTTTCGTAAACAAATCGACAGATGTGTTATTAATTCATTTTTTCTTAATATTTTTCTTATGACTACTTTGTTGATTAATAAATTTGCCTTTAAAGAGAAAAAAAAACGGTTATTTTATTGAAATCTTTGTACATGTATATCACTACACGAATTTGACTTTAATTTCTCATTTACAGACACGTGTTTGAAACTAAAAGAATTTGGTTAATATTCCTTTTATTGTTCGTTTGTTTTGGTGACATTTCATATACATGTACTTATTTTCTTTTTAGAATTAATTGATGGCATTTTTAACGATGCGTTTTTTAAAAAAAATGTTTTGAAATAAAACTGGATAAAAATCCTAAACAATTATATCTACACATTAAATTTCTGGGATTTTCATTAAAATAATATTAATTTTCAATTTTAATTGTCAGAATCACGCGCATTGTGTATATTGTCAAGAGGGGCCGGGGACGATATGCATGTGTCCCCCGTATACACAGTGAATATGGTGAGGTGTCATTAGTGGTGAGGTGTAAGTTTCCGACAAAATCTGACAAGGTTTAAATGTGTCACTTTCCCCAATACACAAGGCGATTAGTGTGAGTTGTCAAAAAATGAGGAGGGTATATAGTGAAGGATTCCAGGCAGACTTCAATATGTCACTTGTTCTGCATCACCCAAAGAAAACCAGCAATGAAAGGTATGTTGAAAATTTCCACATTTATTTGGGTCGCATTTTTAAATCAAACAGTCTAATATCGCTATTTACAAGAGAGGGAGAGAGAGAGAGAGAGAGTTTCGCCCTGTAACAAATGATTTTGAAAGTTCGTATGTGGAAGTTTTGGTCCTTAAAACTTTATTTTTTTTTGTATAAAGTCCTTTGTCTTTCTATGTTTTGTTACCTTGTAAAAAAAGGACTTTCCTTTAAATTACACTATTTAAATCAATCGCGTTTCATAGATTTATTCTAAAACAACCAATTCTTTTTCCGAATCGGCATTAAATCTCAGACAAATCACATTATCTTAGAAACGTGGAAATATTTAAGTTTCAAAACGATGAAAAATATTATTTAATAATTAGTTAATATCATAGAAATCTAAACATGATCTCGTATTTTTATTTTTTATATTTCTCTTAGTCTCGCTATATTGAGAATTATCTTTTTACTGGGGAGTTAAAATTTTCTCGCTGCAGTTGTGGTGGAACGAGTTATCTAATTTTGTACTTCTGCATCCTGTGTTAGAGTTATCGTTCGTTGTGTGAAAAAGGCGCAAAGAATGCACGCTTGTTTTTGTTCTACCATGTGAATGTGAACATGATCGCTGAGAAAGTTGGTCAAGCACCTCGTTGTAAGTGTATTATCATATTATCATATTGTTTGTTAAAGTTAGGCATATTGACAGGTGATATTTTAGCAAGTTGACTCTTTTAAAGCCTGTATTCATGGACAGTTCGAATTTCCTCAACCTTTGTTTTGGTATTTTCTCTAGTTTATAACTCTGTATCTCGTGACCTTAATTAATTACTGAGTATGTGTGCGTTAGTGTATGTGAGAATGTAAGAACTTATTAGTGTTTTGTTTACTGTAGTTCTTACGGCGAACTTATGCTGAAATAAAGACCGTAAACTAGCTGTCGAGTGTTTTGTGGTAAATACGATGGCAGCATAGTAAGAAAACGAGATTGACAGCTTTCAAGATGCAGAATTCCGAGGATGTCCAGAGCGAAGGGACAGGAAAGAGGACACGGGTTCTCACGGAAAGAGCACAGGAAAATCACACAGCCCAAGTAAGAAAATATGAAAGAACTCTGAGAGAACTGAAACACCAGATAGAGGAAGAGACCCTAATATACCAAGAGCTACAAGATTACAGTGATGTAATAGTTCTTGACCAGTGTCTGAGGAGAACTGAGTCGGCGATATCCAAGTATTCAAGGATTTCACAGGATTTCATAGACTTTCTTAAAAGAGCAAACACTGAGGAAACACTTATGCAAGCCTCAACAGAGCGTTTCATCAGAGAAACTGTTATTACAAAAACCGAAATCTTTCTTCAACACATTCAGAAATCGATATCAAAGACTAAAGAAATGCATCCAGAAAACTCAGAATTTGCTATCTCACAATTAGAACCCCAACCTAGTGTTAATCCCAAAATTGAACCCCAGTCAATGTTAACAGATCCTAGATCACACCTACTGAATACTTCCAAAGTAAAGGCGCCAAGCTCAGCAGCAAATTCTCGACGTTCCAAGCACAGCTCAAGCGTTTTCAGTTCCTTGTCGTCTTCTGGCTTGATAATGCAACAAAGGGCAAAGGCTGAGGCAGCAAAGGCCAAACTTAAATTTGTCAACTTAGAAGCAAACTTACAAAATGAACTCGTGGTTCTCACAGCCCAGAAAGAAGCAGCTGTAGCAGAAGCAGAACTGAATGCCATGCTCGAAGAGACTGAAGGATCCAGCGTTGAAGATCTAAGTGAAATTCAACAAGAAAGGACAAAGAGCTTTGTCCGCGAGCAGAATCTTGCACTACATTCGAGTGAGCATATTCCGAGCCAAATCATGCCTGCATTGCCTGAAGACATTGGATCACTTGAGCCTCAGCCAGGCCAAGTTCCTACAAAGGGGCCTCTACCAGGCCAGTTTAGTTTCACTAGTATGCTTATCCCAGGTCACGTTGACATCTTGCCTCCTCCTCCGGAACAAGAGCATAGACATTATAAATCGACACCGATGAATCCTAACGCACCTTCTTTCTTGCCGGAACTAACACCATCTAGACTCGTCAATGAACCTGCACAGAGCAATTATCAAAATCATGGGATGGCTAGTGAGTTGACCAAGTTTTTGTTGAAAAGGGATCTTCTTATGTCCAGATTCTCAAGCTTCAATGACAGACCTGAGAATTATTCCCTTTGGAAAACCTCATTTAGGGCTGTAGTTGGAAGTAACGCCGCTGGAAGAGTCCGATCTACTGGTTAAATGGTTAGGACCAGAATCTTCCAAGTTCGCTCAAAGTATAAGAATCTCAAACATAAACAATCCCACGAGGGCCTTAGCTAAAATATGGGAGAGGCTAGAAGAAAGGTACGGGGCCGCCGAGATGGTTGAGATGTCGTTAAAGACCAAAGTTGGGAACTTTCCTAAGATAACAGTGAAGGATAGCAAGAAATTGTATGACTTGTATGACATTTTGATGGAAATAGAAGCAGTGAAACAAATTCCTAAATACATGCAACTCCTGAGTTATTATGATTCCTCAGCCGGCATCATCCCCATAGTACACAAATTACCTACCCATCTACAAGGAAAATGGAGCGACAGAGCAACCAGATATAAAAGAGCTCATGATGTAGGGTTTCCACCCTTTAATGTGTTTTGTGATTTCATCAAAGATATGAGTTTGATGTTAAATGATCCAGGCCTTCCATTTTCTAATGAGAATGCTCCTCCGTCAAGAGCAACCAAACCACTCACTGACATTCGCAAACAGCCTACAGTGTACACAAGGGAAACAGAAATTCAGGGAGACTCAGAGCAAGGGCAGTTACGGAAGTGTCCCATTTATCACTCCAATCATTCTCTAAACCAATGTAGGGAATTCCTCAAAAAAACATTCAGAGACCGAAAGAAGTTCATACGCGACAAGAACATCTGTTTCAAGTGTTGTTTGACCACAACTCATACTGCTAAAGACTGCCAAGCCTCTGTACACTGTGGAGATTGTGGCAGTCAGCGTCATGCAACAGCGCTTCATATGGTTGAAGGCAATAAAGGTCAAGTGCAGAGTACAGCAGTCAAGGAGTCATTACATGGCACACCTGGGAAGGAGCATGGCGGGGAGCCCAACAATGACCTGGTCTCTAAGTGCACCCAGTTGTGTGGTCAGAACTTTAATGGACGATCGTGTGCTAAGACTGTGTTAGTACAAATCTTCCCAAAGGGACATCCTGACAAGGCAGTGAAGGTATATGCCATCCTAGATGACCAGAGCAACAAGACTCTTGGTACTTCATCTCTTTTTGACGCAATGGGTGTGGCTGATGATAAGTTTGAATACTCACTGTCTTCCTGTTCTGGAAAGGTACTATTGTCGGCAAGGCGAGCCAAAGATCTCTGTATTCAGGCTTGTCATGGTGGCGAAACATTCATCTTGCCACCAGTGATAGAGTGCAACAATATGCCAAAGGATAGATCGGAAATTCCAACTCCGGAGGTAGCAAAACATTACCAACACCTACGCAATATCGCATGCCATATACCGGACCTGGATCAAACAGCAGAAATATCCCTTCTTGTTGGTCGAGATTTGCCAGAGGTCCACCATGTTAAAGGTCAGGTGATTGGTCCCAGGCAAACGCCTTTCGCACAAGAATTGCCTTTGGGATGGGTAATAATTGGGGAAGTGTGCCTTGGACAATTTCACTCATCCAGAACTATCCAAGTATCCAAGACGTTTCTAACGAAGGATAGAAGACAAACTATTCTACAACCCTGTGAGAACACACTGAATATCAAGGAAATCCATGACGGTCTGTCCAAAGAGCACTTCGCGACAAAAAGTGGCATATTTGTGAAAACAAAGGACGATGACAAGTTAGGCTTGTCTGTAGATGACAGAGAGTTCTTGACAATCATGGACAGGTCCTTCAAGAGGGACAGCACTGGTCACTGGACAGCACCCTTACCATTCAAAGAGCAACGACCCGTCTTACCAAACAACAGAGTCCTAGCCGCAAAACGAGCTCATTCCTTGGATGTCAGTCTGAAGAAGAATCCCACCAAACGAGACCATATGGTTACCTTTATGAAAGGCGTCATAGATCGCGGAGCAGCAGAAGTCCCACCACCGATTACGGAAGGCAGAGAATGCTGGTATCTACCCCTATTTGGGGTTTATCACCCCAAGAAACCTGATAAAATTCGAGGCGTCCTTGACTCATCAGTGGTGTACCAAGGAATGTCACTCAACAATGTCTTGTTGACAGGGCCTAACTTAACGAATAGCCTGCTTGGAGTGTTGCTGCGTTTCCGCAGGGATCAGATAGCAGTGATAGCTGATGTAGAACAAATGTTCTATTCATTCTATGTAAATGAAGAGCACCGCGATCTCCTGAGATTTTTGTGGTATCGCAACAACAACCCGGAGGATGAGCTGATAGACTACCGCATGCGAGTGCATGTGTTCGGCAATACGCCCTCAACAGCTGTAGCTACGTACGGATTACGTAAAGCTGTCGTAAACAGTGATAAAGACGTAAGAGACTTTGTTGAAAGGAACTTCTATGTAGATGACGGGCTGGTTTCTGTTTCAACCACAGATGAAGCTATTGAACTGGTGAAGAAAACACAGCAAGTGTTGAAAGAACAAGGGAGCATTAGATTACACAAAATCGCATCCAACAGTGTAACAGTTATGAATGCATTTCCCACTCAGGATTTGGAGAAGAGCCTGACCCAAGTCAACATCGGATCAGATGCTTTACCAGCACAACAGAGCCTGGGTCTGTCTTGGGATCTCAACTCGGACTCCTTCACTTTCAGTGATCATTTGGGAGATAGGCCATTTACCCAAAGAGGGCTACTTTCCACCTTAAACAGTTTGTTCGATCCAATGGGCTTCATAGCACCCCTAGTTATCACGGGAAGAATTTTGGCAAGAAACATTTGCAGTGCAGGCACTACCTGGGATGAAGACTTACCTGATACTTACCGACAGGATTGGGAGAACTGGACACAATCGCTGCACAGCCTTAGTAGTTTTACTATCCCTCGGATGTTCATGCTCGACTCTCTCAGCACGGTGGACAAACCAGAGATACATATCTATTCGGATGCCTCTGAGAAAGCGATAGCAGCAGTTGCCTTTGTTAAGGATTCTATAAGTGGAAAATATGGATTCATCTTAGGAAAGGCGAAGCTTGCATCTTTGCTTGGACACACAATACCACGCCTTGAGTTATGCGCTGCGGTCCTGGCCACCGAGATAGGGGACGTCGTTGGGCGGAACTTAGATGTTCCAATGGAGAACATAAATTACTTCACAGATAGTAAGGTTGTTTTAGGGTATTTGAATAACAACACCAGACGCTTCTATACATACGTCAGCAATCGAGTAGCTATCATTCATGGGCGCTCTAAACCTGAACAGTGGAAGTACATCCAAACATCTCGGAACCCTGCTGACGTCGGGACAAGAGGTGTCTCCAGTGTTAAGGAACTGGTGGAAGGTATTTGGATTCAAGGACCACCTCCTAGTGAAAATGATGATGACCATCAATGCGCAAGGTCAGATACATATCAGCTATTTGACCCAGACAACGATTCTGAAGTGAGACCGTGCATCAGAACTACAAAGACCTCCACAGATGAATCGCCAAGGCAGATGATTACTAAGTTCGAAAAATTCTCCAGCTGGCAGAGGTTAATAATTGCTATCACTGTGTTAAAAAGAGCAGGAAGGATCTTCAAGGAGAAAACCAAACCCAACTCAAGAGAAATGTTTGAACAAACGAAAAGGTCCATAGTAACATTGGTTCAGAGAGATGCATGCTTGCCAGAAACACAGTCTCTACAACAAAATAGACCACTGCCCAAAGGGAGCCCACTTTTGTACCTAAACCCTTATTTAGACCACTCCGGATTGTTGCGGGTGGGTGGACGACTAAGACAAAGCGACCTGCCAGAGGAACTTAAAAATCCAATTCTGCTTCCAAAGAATTCTTATTTGTCAAGGCTTCTGATCTCACACTTTCACGAAGAGGTTAAACACCAAGGGAGATTATTCACGGAGGCAGCCATCAGAAGCAATGGTTACTGGATCACAGGAGCCAAACGACTGGTCTCCTCAGTCATCAACCACTGTGTTACTTGCAAGCGACTACGTGGAAAGGTTCAAGAACAGATAATGAGCAACTTACCTCTGGAACGCACCTCCGCAGGACCACCGTTTTCCATTGTCGGTGTTGACACCTTTGGGCCATGGGAAGTTGTAGCCCCCAAGACAAGAGGTGGTCTTGCTCACAGTAAAAGATGGGCCATTTTGTTCACCTGCATGGCTACACGGGCAGTGCACATTGAGCTTGTAGACGAGATGAGCAGCTCCGCCTTTGTAAATGCTTTACGCCGTTTTGTATGTATACGAGGCTCAGTGAAGGAATTCTGTTCTGATCGCGGAACTAACTTTGTTGGAGCTTTGGATGCTCTAAGAGTGGATGGTGTGTGTGTAGAACAAGGACCAGTGCAGGAATTTCTTAATAAGTCGGGAATCATTTGGAAGTTCAACCCTCCTCATGCTTCACATATGGGGGGTTCTTGGGAGAGGATGATCGGTATGGCCCGCAAGATCCTAAACACAATGCTTTTTCAACACAAGGGCCAATTAACCCATGAAGTCCTTCACACGTTCATGTACGAAGTGTCAGCCATAATCAACTCCCGACCAGTGACCCCAATATCAACTGATCCTGAAAATCCAATCATCATCAGCCCAGCTATGCTGCTGACTCAAAAGACCGGTTTTGACCCTGTACCGGATTTGGATGACGACGTAAGGAACCTTTACAAAACAGGATGGAAGCGTGTTTGTTGGTTGTCCAACGTGTTCTGGAAACGATGGAAGGGAGAATACCTGAGTGGCCTCCAGATTCGCAGAAAATGGAACCAACAACGAGAAAATTTGAAATCTGGGGATGTCGTTCTGGTACGCGATTCCACAGCTTGTCGAAATAGGTGGCCCCTGGGTTTAATTCTTAGGGTCTTTCCTTCCAAGGATGACGGAAATGTCCGCACAGTGGAAATTCGCATGTTTAAGGATGAGAAACCGACGATACTGGTGCGACCTATATCCGAACTTGTCAGCCTGGTGAATTAACTGTGCGCCATATATTGGCCTGGTGAATTGACTGTGTATCTCAGTTTCAATTTACATGTACAAATCTAGTCAGTTATCGTACATTATTTTTACATTTTGTACCTAGTCAAGGGACGATAGTGTTTTGTATTCTAGTCATTTCATTGTTAGTCTGTCATTTGGTTATTTAGTCTAACTGAATTTAACTCATACATGCAAGTTGTCTGAATATTACCCTTTGAACTAGTTCTTAGTGATAGCATAATGGTTCATTTATTTGTGAATTTGTGTGAAAATGGAGATATTTTACAATATCTGGCGAAGAGTGTAGTGGAACGAGTTATCTAATTTTGTACTTCTGCATCCTGTGGTAGAGTTATCGTTCGTTGTGTGAAAAAGGCGCAAAGAATGCACGTTTGTTTTTGTTCTACCATGTGAATGTGAACATGATCGCTGAGAAAGTTGGTCAAGCACCTCGTTGTAAGTGTATTATCATATTATCATATTGTTTGTTAAAGTTAGGCATATTGACAGGTGATATTTTAGCAAGTTGACTCTTTTAAAGCCTGTATTCATGGACAGTTCGAATTTCCTCAACCTTTGTTTTGGTATTTTCTATAGTTTATAACTCTGTATCTCGTGACTTTAATTAATTACTGAGTATGTGTGCGTTAGTGTATGTGAGAATGTAAGAACTTATTAGTGTTTTGTTTATTGTAGTTCTTACGGCGAACTTATGCTGAAATAAAGACCGTAAACTAGCTGTCGAGTGTTTTGTGGTAAATACGGGGGCAGCATAGCAGTCTTATTTTACTATAATTTGTTAAACTATTTAACGAGCCCCTATTCAACATTTATTTATTTCCGTAGCAACCACTCCCCACAAAAACTTAAAATGTATTTTACATTTTTTTGGTTATCATTATATCTATAACATATAAGCGTAAAATACTTCATCATCGAATTATAATGTTCTACACTCGGTAATAAAATACGTCTGGTCATTTAACACGTGCGTTTACAGCCCAAATTACACGACCTCATGTAGATTCCTACTAAGCCTGCTGCTTTGAGAAATTTTTATTGAAGTGAAATTATAACCATTATGTCAATTCTTTTCATATTGGCTAACCGATGAATATATGGAACATGATGATCTGTCAAAAAGTCAAATATAAATCAAATTGAATGTTCATTTTTTTTTTGTCAAAACCAAAAAATCTTGGAAAATAACCCTAATGCACGTATACGGGCTTAAGCATAGACGATACATTGTATGTTCCTCAATATTAGTACATGAATTTGCCATAATTTTGTTATTGAAAAATTGCTATTTTAACCTTCACTCAAAAAGTCAGGTACCTTACCGGGCACTTGTGTGAGATTCCAGAGAATATGATATTTCTTAATAAATATAATCCTATATATTGGAAAAATAATGTTGTAAATACCCTGGTATCATTTTTTGTTCGTGTTTCGAATTTTTTGAGACATCAATTATAGGAAATTTGTACAAAAAGATCAGCATTATTTTTTATACTTTGTATATTTTTACAGACAAATGCAATCAATGCAACCAAATTGTTCGCCCTCGACAGGAAGCTGTTCAGTGTGACCAATGTCACAAGTGGCAACACAGGACATGCAACACTGGTTAGAAAATAATTATTCAATTAATTCTTAAATATCAAAAGTGTCAGATAATTGCAGAAATAAAATTAAATTGAAGACAAGTATTTTGTTTTTATGATTTTTCACTAAAATTATTATTATTTTTTAAGGAATTAGTAGACTACAGTACAGAAATCATGTAAAAGGCAAGCAAGAGTTAGAATGGACGTGTTCTAAGTGTAACAATGCAGAGCCTGCTCTTCCACTTCCGCAGCCCGCAACACCGGTACCTGCACCTGCACATCCCGAAACACCGGCATCTCCACCAGTACGTCCCGCAACACCGGCATCTCCACCTGCACATCCCGCAACACCGGCATCTCCACCTGCACATCCCGAAACACCGGCATCTCCACCTGCACATCCCGCAACACCGGCATCTCCACCTGCACATCCCCGCAACACCGGCATCTCCACCTGCACATCACGCAACACCGGCATCTAAACCTGCACGTCCCGCAACACCGGCATCTCCACCTGTACGTCATGCAACACCGGCATCTCCACCTGCACATCCCCGCAACACCGGCATCTCCACCTGCACGTCCCGCAACACCGGCATCTCCACCTGTACGTCCTGCAATGCCTGCAGCGGAAGCTGCGGAGCAAGACGACAGTACTGAATATGAGCCTCCCGCTGACGCCACATTCCATGTATCTTTGGCTTCGATGGACAATACACAAGACAGATCAACAGTATGTATTTTTAAAGAAAATCATAATTTTAAAAAAATGACTTGAAAAATTAGGACTGTTTTGTATGTTTGTATACTTTTTCCAGGATATTGTAATCGATCGTTCGTTTGATGTGCCCGTTGAAGCAGTGGAACGTACAATGCAAGAAGAGTCCCTCCACGATGCCTCAATAACCATCGAAGACCTGAATGTTGAATACTTCATTGTGGATTCTGGGACGGAGCGTGGAAAACGAAAGTTGGTTGACAGCATCGGATATAGTTACACAGTGAAGGTAAAAATATAAAATACTTGTATTTAATTATTTCTTATAATTCTTGTTATAAGAATTTATATCTAAGACGATTATTGTTCCGACTTATAACATTTTTAATTATTTTTTTAAATCCATATCAGAAACAAAAGAATGACCATGTTGTGTGGCGGTGTACCAAAAGATCAAAGACTGTCAACTGCCCCGCAACTGTCATCCAGGATGGCATAACGTATAAACCTGGACAGAAACTGCATGTTCATCCAGGAAATCCAGGATCCCACATTGCAGTCAAAATTCAAGCTGAGGTATAACTTTTTATAGGTGTTTCACATAAATAGACCCGATATTACGGTGTACTAATGTACCGGCAAACTGTTTGTTGCATTCAAGATTTCTATATTAAAATAAACTCGTTTCTTTTGGCAGGTCAGACAGCATGCTAAAGATGCCATATTTGGTCAGCGCTCTTCAACCATAGTTAATGCTGCTATCAGGGCTCATGCCGACCCGGAAGCACCACCTGACAGCAGGCCAAACCCCGGATACCTCATCAGGACAGCCAACCGTATACGCCAGTTGGATCGACCACAGGATCCTTCTGACCTTCAAGATGAGGTTGGTTTTTATTAAATCTGAATAATTCTGAAACAAAATGTCAACATATTACTTTGTGTACATGTACATAAATGTATATGGTAGTATTAACATTATTAACAATTATTGCAGCTTGATCTGGATTTTTTGGAACGTCATGCGCAAGGATTTTTGCGTAAAGATTTAATAGTGGACAACAAGCGACATCTCATATTTTATACCGATAGACAGCTTCAACTATTATCTAAGGCGAAGACATGGTATATGGATGGGACATTTCGATGTGTCAACAATCCTTGGAAGCAACTTTTTTCCATTCACGGCTTTGTGAAGTCCGGTAGCCACATCAAGCAAATCCCCTTGGTGTTTGTAATTATGTCTGGAAAGAGGAAAGAAGATTACTACCAGGTGAATTTTATTTTTGATTTTTTAAATTCTTAATTATTTCTGGACAATTCTTTAATATACCTTTATTTCTGGATTTTTTTTTACGCTATAAGTAATTTTTCAATTCAATCTCGTTTTTAATTTATTTATAAATGAATGTTGTTTACTTCAGGTTCTGAGGTTCATAGACAGATAGCTTCCAGAACACATCTCACTGGAGGGATTTGTGGCTGATTTTGAAGCTGCACTTTGGCAGGCTCTTAAGGAGCGGTTCCCCCGCATGCCAATCCAGGGTTGTGCTTTTCACTGGACACAGGCCGTGTTCAGAAAGGTCCAGGAACATGGTTTACAGGTAACAGAAATTACTATTAATTTAGCAATATTGTATCATTTTCTGATAGAATGCCTGTGCAATCACGGTAAATTGAGCTGATTTTAATCTTATTGTAAAGATAAAAAATCAAGAATTAACGAACTTTATTTCAAGTGTGATGCAATGTTTAATTATTGAAAAAGAAAATAAATTATTCCTAGTATTTTAGAGTTGATTGACAAATTTTATTCATTATCTCTTACAGACAGCGTACAACAAAAAGGACAAAGTCTTCAAGTTCGTCCGCCAGCTACTCGCCTTGCCATTCCTCCCACCGGAACATATCGAGGATGCTTTCCACCGTCTGGATGGCCGTGCTCCAGCGGTCTTAGCCCCCGTAATGGACTACGTATACAGAACATGGATTCGTAGTCCGAATCTATGAAATCCATCACTGGAGTGTTTTCATGACGGCCATCCGGACCAATAATGATGTAGAGGGGTGGCACAACAGATTAAACACAAGTGTGGCCACCAGGGGACCCGTGCCCTTCTACCATCTTATTGTAGTCCTTTACAGAGAGGCGATGGACATCACATTACAGATGAAGATGGTCTCGGAGGGAAAGATACAGCGGTATCAAAGAAAGAGGACCCCTCAAGTGGAGGGACGAATTTTTGATCTGTGGCAGCAATACTGTGAAAGGGGGATAAATGCTAGCCAGCTTCTCCAAGAATGTGCCTCCATCTATGGACCTCCAACCCAGTAAATCAATGTGAATCACGCATTTTTACGGACATATGACTGGCTTAATGTTATTGCTGTGTTTAATGAATAAAGATTTAGATGCTGATAGATGCACATTCATATTTTTTTCCACATATCATTAATATTAAATATCATACCAAAATACTAGTTATAGTTACGTGTAATCTTCAGGTCAATTTCACCGGGCAACAGATAATCAAACATTGGTAATAATGTCTGAGAAATAAATAAGTTTGCTAATCAGAACCAAGAACAAGCGCCGTTTGTAACCACGTACTATTATATATATATGGCGTTTTTCTCAGATTAACTAACATTTATAAGATCCTTCTTGT